TGCTCCTATAATGGTTGTTTATGGCATGTAGCTTTTAGGCATGTGTCAAACTATATGAGGGGCAATTGCTTATGGAAAGCAGGGGAGCATTTAAATGCACAGTCGTCTAAATATGATCTTTTAAATCTGGATGTCTTTTGTTATGCATCAGAAAGTATTATTTTTTTTCACAATCCTTGTATCACTTTTAGGAAAGGGAGTAAATCACAATCAACAACACATCCTTCATACGTGAGTTATATTGTGTACTCTTCTTTCACAGGCTGAGCCTTCAGGACATGTGGGTCTTATTCAGACTGCTATGTCAGTGTGAAGGTGACCATTGCCTTATTTACAGTGACATCTATTGGCAAAAGCAATCTGCAAAGGGCCTCTTTTTTCTGTTAGAAGTTTTTTCAGTGTTTGTTCTCCTATCTTTGGCATTTTTCTCAATTTTCTTCACATCACGCCACTTAGTTGTTCACAGTCAGTTCAACATTTTAGATTACTTAATATAGCTTAGTTGGTTATAATATTTTCAAACCCAATATCCCTGTTCTCAATCAATCAATCATCTATTTCCAGATTATATGTAAAAAAGGGGAAAGATTTTATATCATCAGCACAATTTGCCAGTGCATGTAAGAGTTCTGGTCATCTCCAACACCCAGGAGACACAGCTTCTGCTGAGGCAGCATCATCTCAACATCACGTAGTTAGCATTCTTACTTACTTACTTACTCACATGCTTACTTACTCAATGGAGCTATCACTGACACCTTCCACACACCAAAACAAAAGCCTCTCTGGGCACAGGACTTTGTCTGCAGACTCCAGAAGGCTGGTGCACTCCAGTGTCAGTTCAGTTCCATTGAACTCAACAGAATCTGCTGTGCTCTGGACATCCTCCAGCCCTTCCTGTATATTCTACAGTGTATGTGTGTATATATACACATACATAACATAGTATATCATGTATCTACTGATAAGCATATCTACAGAGAGTCTGTTATATATACAGTTTAGTTGCTAAAAATTTTAAGAACAATATGTAGGAACATTAGTTACATTAACACCATGAGACTGTCAGTACAGAATAGAATATTTCAGGGATTTTCTCAGGATTCCTGCTGAAAATACTACACACCATGTTATAACTACTCAAATTATGTTCATTAATAAATAATATTTTGCTTTTATTTTGCCATATATAGTTATTTATCTGTCAATTCAAAACTAATTCAGTCAAACAGGTTCGCTGCAGCAGACATTGGTGAAGTGCTTTGCTCTGGGCTTGGCTGCTAGTTTTGTTCTTCCCATGAAGGTCCCCTGAACCAGTCATGAAGATAAGCTAAACTATTTTGAGAGATTCAAGGTTTCTTTTGGGCATTAGGCCAACAGACTGAAAGTTCTTTGGGTAGTTTCTGCAGACAATTTTAATAGACTTCAAAATTAATACTTTGTTGAATAGCATGGTATCATGACTTTTATATTATTTAGTTTGTTATGACAATAAGATATTGCTCTTATTTGTAACTGTATTTGCAATGAAATAGGTAACAGACACTATTTAAATCTTTCATTTTTGAATTACTTCTGCCATCTTCAGATCTGGGGACACAGCATTCTTTAATTCATGCATAGGTACTAATGCTTTCTAGGTAACCATGAGAATTTTAAAACAATTTTGGAATATATGTTTGGATGCTGAGGTTTTTAGTGACTTCAGGTAAATGGTTTATTCATGAAGTCATAAACTACAAAAGAAATTGAAGTTTAAACAGAACAAAAGGAAAACAGAAGTCAAGAACAAACTCTCTGAAAAACACTGAGAATGACTGGGTTAATTTTTTTTCTCAAAATCACCAAAGTGTTGCTTATAAAGAAAAAAATACAAACATTATCAAGACAACATTTCTGTCCAGTGTTCATACAGCAGTAGAAAAGAACTGGAAGCAAAATGTTGACATTTAAACACCTGATACTTTATTCAAAATACCTTCAAATCAGAGACAGAAAAAAAAATTAAATCAGATCTTCATAAAAATATATATTTCATCTACCTGTTTCATGTATCTTGCATGATTTACATCTGAAAAATGAAACTGTCAGGAGTACCTAAAAATTATTCAAACTTATCTACCCAAGTATGTGGGTGAAATTTGATAAAATAGAAACAGACACAGGAATTGACTGTGCAGCACATCAGTTCTGTTAAGCAGAGGCAGAGAATCTTTTTTTTCACATGACAATCCAGTACTCTCCTGCGAGAGACATTTCCCTGTCCTCAAATTCTCTTCCAGAGAAGAGACAGATCACACATGCAAATGTTTCACCATAGTGAAAACTTGCACTTGGGAAGAATGATGAAGTTGACAGAAACAGAAAACAAAACATGACTTTAGAAACATTTTCTTTAAATGTTTCATCATTATCTCCAGCCTCACAAAGACAGCAGACACACAGAAAAGGCCATCTGTCCACAGAGCCAAACACTGCACAAATAAAAGGTATAGAAATAACAGTACATAAGAGCTTAAATCACAAAACAAATCTCTGTGAGTTTAGATCTGTACAAGGACATAATAGCAAGACTTGACATGAAAACCAAGCAGGCTATCTATATGTGCAGAACATTGGTGGAAGTACAACACTACAGTATTTTTGCAGGATGTCTTGTAAGTTAAGGTTTTTATCCCAAGTCCTAAGGAGATGCCAGGGAAGAAGACTCAAAGAAAAATGAGCAAACGTAAGCAATTGAAATTAAACCCAAAAATGAAACAAACATATATAACTTCACATATATAACTAGAAAGAAAGATCAGAGTGGGGGAAGGGGACAACAAAATGCAACAGAAGGTAGAGGTAGTCTATCAAGCAGCAGAGTGATAAGGAGACTGTCACCACGTTTTTCTAGCCTAGTTAATAGATAATAAAAGACCACTCTAGAATCTCTAGAGCAAGATTCCTCTAGCATTCATACCTTCATGTTGAGGCTACAACCCTAAGGTACTCCAAATCTCTCAATTATTTGCAGCTTTTAACAACTGAAGGCTAGGCAATTTAGCAATCTAGTCCTTGCCTATGTAAAGCTACAAGAATCTAAATCCAAAATCTCCTTTCCATTAAGTTTATAAAAACTGTATAACATATAGAGTTCTTTTACTTTATTCATATGCCATACTCCACTTTTTTTTTGTGAAGTTATTTTGAAATTGATTAATTGACTTGGGTTTTTTTTCCTCAGCTGATTCCTTGAATTCTTTAGGTCCTGCTTCATGTCTGTAAGGCCATCAAAGTCCTTTTTGCGGAAGCAACAGAGACAAATTCCTAAAGCAGTAGAGAAAGCACAGGTATAGAGCAAGTGGGTTTATGGCAGCAAACAGGTGTCTGCTGTATATTCACCCCATTGTACTCCAGAAGCAAAGACAGCTACTTACCAGGTTTTTTCTTTGACACAAAGAAAATTCCCAGCTGATGTTAAACACATGCAATATTAAAAACATCCTGAGCATGACTGTCAAAGATTATGAGCACAGCAGAACACACTGTTTCCCTCCTGTGCCAAAAACAGCAGAGCTGACCCCAGGGCTCCTCTGTGGTTTTTTAATTCTGAGAATAAGTTTATGAGTGATCAACTCTCCAACAGTACACAATTCTTGACAGCTACTATTTTGAGCAAATACGCTTTATGTTTTTTGGTCACTGAGCATTTCATTCTTCTCAGTATAAAGGTTCCAAGTGTGTCAGAGGTTTAAGAGTTGATCAAAGAGACCTGCAGCTGTGAGGGGTGGTGATGACATATTTTAACCCTGTTTGCTGTAGAGTCATCTTAGTACAACATAGAGTTCACATCTGAGATTTAATTCTCTGGGAGCACACTGAGTAGTCTGCTTGAGATTCAGTGTAGCTTGACTATACAAGAAATTAGTGATTGAGGATGCAACCAAGTGCTCAGAGCCAAGACTGGGTCCACATTCTCACTTTAGAGTTGCAGCAGATGGATGACCTGAGAAGCTGTTCCCAAAGAATTTCAGGCAACTGAGCGTTTCTAGTCTTTTTCAGATGCCACCACTAATTTTCATCTAGGTCAATCTAACATGAATACGGCATCTCTGCATTAGGGGAATTACTGTGAATGATGACTTCTTCTAAAACTTATTACTGTAACTATAAAAATAGTCAATAGTTCAAAAGTGCACTATCAGAAACTTGTACAATTGATTGCATGTCTTACCACTGCCCAAGACTGCATAAAGAACGTAAAGACATATCTAATAGTACACTGCCCAAAGGTGGTCTTCAAATGATGGGTGACAGTTTTTTCTAAAATTAGAGCTGCAGGAGCTAGATACAAAAGTGAAGTCCTCTCTGTAAAAGTTCAAGCTCTTCAATAGAAAATACAAGACACATTCATAAAATCAATTTTTTATTTTTATAAAATCCTTATAAATATCAAAGCAATGGATCAACTCCATTGTTTTCAATATGCAAGAAACATATAAAACTTTCGTTTATGATATGAAGCAGTAGCCTTATTGCTTTTTCTTCTGAGACTACTCACTTGATAGGGAAACATATCAAAACCAACACTAAGTCTAAAAAGGGGTGTGAAAACATACAACACACTCTCGCTTTCTCCATGCACACTTTCCTGATGTGCCCTTTAAGAATGAACTGTCCTGAGGTCTTTTTAGCTGCATTCTTCTCCCTATGCCAGAAAACAAAAAACAAAGGGTTTTTCCCTTTGTTTAATACTTGTACCTGCTGCTGCTGCTAAATGCCTTTCATTTCTCTAATGGTCTATTTGTGCGCTCCTTCAGAAAACATTTGAAAGGCGACGGTAGGCCTTGCAGCATATAATAGCTATATTCTAGGGAGGAGAAAACAAAAAAGTCCACCTGTCTTAAACTAAGCGAAAATATCTCTATGTCTAATTTATTAAAATAGTATATAAATTCAATCCTCATTGTGATTTCCCTCATGTTTGTCCATCTAAGATCAAAAGACCCACTGAGGTAAAAGGTAGAGCCTATAAAAAATTAATTCATAGAAGATGAGTTGGTCAGGAGTACTACAGAGATTGATGGTAGTTGCTACCCATGAAACCTCTAGCTGCCTCTTCCAGGTATCACTGGTAACTATGTAGTTCTCACAGTTTGAGAGTAAATCTAATTCTATCCTAAGCTACATCCTATGGCAAGTTCATTAAAAAGAATAAAAATAAATTTGGCATAAAACAAACAATTATATTCAGCTAACAAAAGCTCCTGAGAGAAACTCAGGCTCAAGTCAATTCATAAAGACGGACATTTCAACATATTGCTATTGAGGGCTGAGCTTTTTATTAGACATTGACTTGATTCCAATTTCTTTGGCTTTCTCTGAATGTTCTCTTTGGTCTTCTCTTTACCATATAAGTGCAACCACCAAAGTTCAACTATGACAGCCAGTACCTTGAGACATTACAGACCTGAGCAGTTCTGTGCTCCACTGCATAGTGTGAGGTATGCACCATGTGGATCACACTGCAGTGTCTAGCATGAAAGAGTCTGGAGCAACAGCCACCCCTGCCTTCTGATTTTAAGTGGTAAAAGTCTGATGCTACATGGATATAGTGTTATAGTTAGTCCCTTATTGTTCACCAAATGCAACAGACTACATTTAGACCCAAACAATTCCCTCTATGCCTTTCTACCTTGCAGTTTTCAGGTTTCAGGACAATTTCATCACTACACATTATGAAATTCAGGAATACCTAATCCACCTGACACGATCAGGTAATACACAAAATCCTTACTCTTTGCTTTTTAAAAAAAAACATCAATCAGTACATGATTCCCGCTATGAAGCAGCCAGAACAACAGGATCATATAAACATCTGTTTTACTTAAATGCTGTTAGTCATTACTGCTTTTTGTTGAAAAGTGAAATAATATCATTGAAATAGTTTTTCCTTGAGAATTACATTGTGAAGTCCTATATAGAAGCTAAATGTTATGTTAGAGACCAGAAGAATAAACCCAGAACATCCTATACTGCCAATAATCCCAGGCATCCTGTTTAATAATTTGGTGGGAAATTCTGGGCAACTCCTTTACCACATCTGACCCTTATGATTAGCAGTGACCTCTGTGCTCCCAAACCAATGCACTCAAACAGTCAGACCTGTTAATGTCAATGAACCTGCAACAGCTCAGGCAGGACATACTTGTCTGTGTGAAATGACTGCATGATAACCAGTAAAAAAACAACACCTATTTGTTACAACAACTCAAGAAAAAAAAATTAAAAATCACAAAGTATATTAACTATTAAAATTAATTCAGCCTTTGGTTTCAGAGGGAGACTACTCTGGCTTTACTCCTTTAATTCCTTCTGACTTCTCGTCCTCTTAGAGGCTGGGGAGGCCGGTAGTTTCTCAGCAAGCAGCAGGCAACCTCGTCCTCAGCAGTGCTCAGGAGGCTGCGGAATTTGGCCAGCTGTGATCAAAAGACACATAAAGGTCAGCAGAAAACCCTCATATTGATACCAGTGAAAATGCATGTAGTAAATATTAAACATACTTGTCACCTTTTTTCCACCTGGGAGGACAGAAGTGTATTTTACTAAGGCATGTGGGGAATGGCAATTTCACCATTTCTGTCCTTGTAAATGAAAAAGGATGACTACTGAGAAAATCTCCCAAAATACATGTCAGCATGAAATTGTGCATAAGGATTACTTGTTTCCTATATTCACACTTTTCTTCCATAACCTGATCTAAATCAGGAGGGTTTATATTTTTTAGTTGGATTTCATAGCTTGGAGATTCTGGAATGTTTTTTGCCAAAAATTACATTACATTTCTTATAGTAAACACATTCTGTGTATGTTTTCTTGCTCAAAGAGTATATTCACAATTAACCTGGAATTGCAGGTGTGGTGATATAGAAAGCTGCTGTAATTGGCACTTACTCAAATCAGGAGAGACTCAAAATTCTTTCCTTGTGAAGACATAGAACAAGCAGTTATTCATACCTCAGCATATGCTGATCCCAGCAGAAACCCCTAGCAAAACTCCATGTCTCAACCTCAGGAAATCTGAACCTGATTTAGTTTAGCATTTTGTTTTATTTCTAGTATTTCCAATATTCACTATTTCTATATATCACCTTACTTCCCTTCTAGATTGCCAAAGGTAGGACATTATAATAGAGCATTTAGTTGTATGGCACATTGCATCTGATTTGCATTGAGCAAAAAGTCAGTGCTATCTTGCTTCACCCCATTCTAAAGCTAACATTTGGAATTCACGCTCCCTGTAAATTTATAAAAACTCAAAAGCTATTTTTAATTTCTTTCAACCTGAAAAATTTAACAAAAAGTCAGTAGCAAACTCTAAAGCCCCAAAGAAATACAAACTTGAGGAATAAAATTAAATGGCAGAATAGTATCAGTCATAGTGCTGACTGATCAATCACAGTGGTGGACATTACTGGAAATACACACTTTTAGCTACATGCAACTTTATATTTATAAGAATATAGCATAATTCTACTTTACTACATAAGATATACCTAAAGTCTATGAAAAATGACTAGTAAAGAATCACTGTAATTGACAGTTTCCCACACCACGTCCTCTGAACCTGTTACACATGGCTGTATACAGCATTTAACATTTTAGAATGTATTAATTATATATTTGCCCAAATAAGAAGCTTTTAACATGAACGATGGCTTCTCTTTAGAAAGTTGATACCTTAACGCAAATTTTCAATCCTAGATCCTTACACATTGCAGGGAGTCTTACAAAGCCAGATTGACTGGAGTGGGGAAGAGATACAGATGAGAAAAATGCGCACGCTGAGCAAATAAATTACTTCAAATCACTTGCAAACAGAGTCTGAGGTCTCCTGACAAACAAGCATCCCACTCAGGAACCTGTCTTAACATTTAGTATAAAGACTGAAGTCACCATTTCTGCTGAGTATGTGGTCTCTGGTCAGAGAAACTCTTTACACTCAAGAGCATCAGCCCGCTGGGTGTCACTGTTGCAACGTTAAGATACATCATGAAGCTCAATTTAATAAGAAACGTAAATAGACTCTTATGAAGTATCACAGTTTTCCTAATACAGCCTAACATAACACCCCAATTTATTACGATTGTATTTGCTTTTTGCAATTCTAGTAAATTCATCAAGTTTTACATATCTGGAATGCAAGAATAAATTTACTACTCATCTGCCAGATAAAAATGCCAGAGAAGAGGCTTGAGCAGGATATGCAAGTAATCAAATCAAATGGAATTCCAGAATTCCTAAGTGTCATCAGAACTCTTTTTTTGATGTAAGTTCCTTATGGGTTATTTTTGATTATTAATTTTTAGAGTATGCAGATTCTTTTTAAAAAAAGAATAATAAATAGGTGTTACAGCAAGAAAAGCAACAGGAAGTGAGGATAAATTTCATATACAAATTTTGCCTTTTGAAAATCCAATAAGTTCTGCAATGACATATTTGTGGATGTTATTTACAATTTCAAGTCTTACAAAAGCAACATTTTGATAGTGGTGACAAACCAAACAGTACCTGTTCAGAACAAACACTTATGGGTTCTCTCAGAACAATCCAGATGACACTCTCAAGAAGAGGTGGAACGGTAAGAGAGCCAAAGTAAGTCCAGTAGTCCAGGGACTTGGGAAGCAGACAGCTAGGATCAAAGTTTGTGAATAGTGCTTTTTTACCCTGGAAATTAAAAAAAAAAAAAAAAAAAAAAGGTCATTTGTATTCAAGTTTAATTATATTTAGAATTTTATTTCAAAGAAAAAAAAAGAAAAAGAAAAAAACAGGGAAATGTTATTTAATGTTATTTATAAGCAAAAGGCCAAGATAAATCATGCCAAAGGAGGTAGAGCTTGTTCCACTATCAGGTGGGCTGGCAGCATCCTGGATGATGGAGGTCCTCATCAGTCAGACCTTCTGACGAGGTCTTACCTCTGTGACAGCTTTGCTGCTGCTGTCCCTGCTGCCGGCAAGACACCATCAAAGAGGTCATTTTAGCACAGGCTCCCCTGAGTTACAAGTGACCGTGAGATGGAAGTTGAATGGAGAGGACAGAAGATGTTAGACTTTCAGTGTGGTCTCTGTGGGGCTGGCAGAGTAACCCCACAGGTTACTGCCACTGGCTCCTTTCACCATTTGCTCCTCCCAGGTCCACGTGTTACTACTGTTTCTCTGTGTTCCAGCTACCAGGCCAGAGAGGACTGTACAAGACATCATGTTGAGAATCAGGCTGATTTATATCACACAAACAACAGAATTATTTCTCACTCTGTACCTCTGTTATTTCTCACCCTGTACCCCAGCAAAACAGGGGAAATACTTCCCTCATCTTTTTCACAGTTTTCCATAAAGTATGTTCTTCCCCTGCTACTATTCTCATAGCAACACATTCATCAGAGACTGGGTTCTGTGAGGAATTAGTCTTTTCTTCTGATCTTTTACTGTATAAAAACTGTCTGCTTAGTTTTCAGCCTAAGAAAAATGCTCCTAAACTGTCTCAAACCAGATGTGGATAGCTATGATACCAGTAATCAGGGAACGTGAAAGTGAAGGGAGTAGCGGCCAGGTTTCAAAAAATAAAAAAAAAAAAAGCACCAAAATAACAAAAGCAACTACCAATATTAGTATTTTTTTAGAAAAACTCATTTACCTTGATTCTGATGGTGTCCAAGCGGTCAGTAATCTTCTTCAGCTGAGGGTTGCATTCACCAATCTATTAAAACCAGAGAAAAGAGAAACACTGGAGCTCCAGGGAAAATAACAAAAATAAATAATCAAAAAGCAAATGCATAATGAAACTGTTTTATAACTCTCCTTAAGTGACTGTGAGAGCCAATGGATTTTGTGAAGAAGCCTGTAACTAGCTGGTCCTTGGAAATAGTACTGGTCATAAAGAAGATCCGCTCCCTTGCTGATAATAATTATTCTGGTTACCCATAGTAATTATTTCAGCTACAAATGAATCAAAAACTTTTCACTACAGGAGAACAGAAACCATTATTGTTCATGTTTTAATATGCAAGATATTAAAAGTGGCAAGCTTGCATCTGTAATTTAAATTACTTAAAACATTGAAAACACTGTTCTTATGTATCCCAAGAAGAATTTGTCTGCTCAGAAGTCCAGTAACACTTTCCCTTGAACCATTATAATGCAAACTTGAAAGACTGAATTACTGAAGCAGTTCTTTGCAACTGCTGCATGGAATGGCTTCCTGACTGTGCCAGCACCAGCACTAGCTGTGCTCAGGAAGCTGTGGCATCCACCAGAAACCACAGATTTGACCAAAGCCCTATTCTTTTGCCATGGATTGTGTGAATTCTCCATCTCTTTCTTCATACAGAAGTCAATGAAGCTGTTGCACAAGTTTAATTCATCTTAGAACAGGTACAAATGGCAAAAAGGTGTATAAGAATTATAAGGAAATTCTCCAGTTTCTGGTTTTGTTTTTTTTATTATTATTATTTTCTAGAAGAAACTACCAGCTCAGAAACAAACTGTTAAAGAAACATTTGAATCAAATCAGATTGTCCCCATAAAGAAACCTATTAGTCAAGTACAGGTTATTTGGATCCATATAGGGGCAGCTGAATTAAGTTTCACATCTTATGTTGTACTGGAGTGCAAACTAGGCAAACAGACTCTCACTGTCTTGAAAAATCTCTTAATCTGATATTTTTATTCTTCAAGGAAGCATAGCTTTCCATATTGGCAGCTAAACACTATGAAGGAAACAAGTATAAAACAAGTATCTTTTTAGCAATAATTACACCAACCATCACGATTATCTCTTTGAGCTTATAATGCAGATTTATTAGGAGGGCTGGAACATTCTTTTCTTACCTTCAGAAATACAGCCATGACTGCTAATCCATCTGACTGACGAGCTGCCTCAACAAAGCTGGAATACTTCTCTGCATTCCAATGGACCACATGAAGCTGAAAAGCAAGAGACACAGACAGCATCAACTCTCGCTGAACTGAAGAAGTGGCAAATGAATACTACAACTTTCTGGGGTAGATACTCCACTCTTTTGTATGCAGAGCCATTCAGTGCAGATATTTCATGAAATCAGTAAACATATAGTTCACACAAATGGCAAAAGTATTTTCAGGGGCTGGGATTATTCAAAATTTAGCAGGAATCAGCACACCACAGTGCCTGGCAAACTGCTGTTGGGCCCTCAGATTTTGAATTGGGAGTTAAGACAAGAAAGCCAAAGGTTATATAACTAAAGGTTTTAAATCCATATTTAGTACAGCTGATTTTAAAAAGTGATTGAAATTCATGAAGATGTCCTTAGTATTTTACTCATCTTTTTCTTTAATCAAGCTTTCAGCAACATTAATCGGCCACATAAATAGCTAGAAAACGGGCAGAGGAACACATTAAACTTGCACTGACCCCTTGTCCCTTGTTTAGTTCAAGCTAAAAAGCAACATTTCATTTTTGATACTTTCCAAATGTTATTTTCTATGACCACCAGTAGTTAGGCCCTTACAAGCAGCTTGATTATCTCAGGTTTGAGCATTTTGCATTTCCAACATGTATTATTCTGGAACTGACCTCTTGTACTTGCTTAAGCAGCTTAAAGACACCACCTAGCCAGGTGGAAAAAGGAAAAGCCCATGATCTCTGCTCCCATGTCACCTAAGTCCCTCCTGCTATACCAGGTTTCCTAATTCCTGACCACAATTCATGGTGGAAGCTCCTGGTTCTCACGAAGTTCCAGAATGTCCCAGCCTCTGGAGAGAGCATAAACACTCACACAGCACTTACATGTAAGTACTTCACAAACATTAATTACTTTCACAAATCCCCAATGGATTAGTAAATCTTATTACCCACAGTTTTCAGACAGAGATGCTCAGAAGCAGGGCATGAGATTGGCTTTTCTAAAATTGGTGGCCATCTTTTCAGACCTTGAACTTTAGGAGTGCTGAAAAGCAGTTTCATCAAATGACTTAAACTGGGATGTATCTCTGAAAAAAAAGGCTTCCTTTTGGAATACAGCACTCACAAGACATCTAAAGTAAAAGCAATTTAGGAAAGCTGGAACTTGCTTTAAAGGTTTCCTATGGGAAATAACATAGCTGCATGGCTGAAATAGGGATCCAGGAGAATGAAGATTTTTACCCTAAATCTCAATCCTTGCCTAACCTCTCTGAGTTTCAATTTTTCATATCTCTTACTTGGTCTTACTTTATGTTAATGTTTGTTAAGCACTTGGGCTCTAAAGTGCTGAAACATTACTTCCAGCAAGTAAAAAAACCCACTGTAGTCAACAATAATACATGTATGGCCACGATGACACAATGCTGGCTCACAGCTTCAGAAATCCTTGAAGGAAAGTTGCTAAAAACATTATAAATTAAACCAGGAAGAGAACATAGTCCACTAAACTTTTCACAACTGCACTAGTGTCCTGGAGCTCATAGTGTCTGCATCACTCACTATTATAAGTTCACAGAAGCTACATTGAACAACTTTTAAACAATTACCTTTTAACATACACAAAAAGGAAACAGATACTCTCAGTCAGAAATGACTTTTATTGTGGATTTGAAAAAAAAAAGGGAAAAAAAGCTAACAAAGAACAAAAAGGAAAATTCCCACAACTACTAACAGCCCACTCCACTCCCTCATAGCTTTGCCCCCAAAAAACCCAAGCCCACCATCCCAAAAAAACAAAATCCCCAAAGAAACAGAGCTGTGAAACACTTTTGGGTACAGACCCCTTCTCAATGGCTTGTGACTTCTCTGTAAGGAATATATCCCATCTTACCACCGCTCTGTCACTGCAGCTTGTGAAGAGATCTTGATCAGACCATATGTTGTCACAAAGAATGGAGCCATGGATTGCTTCTGCTTCCCGGTGGGATTAGAGGCCAAACCTTGAAGCCTTCTTTACCTGTACACTAGTTCTTTCTTCAACTCAGTTGATGCTTTTTCTTGAAATCTTGTACATCTTCCTTACAAAGGTGAGCACTGAAACCATTTTCACGTCTCCTTCTGAGGTATTTTCTTTTGTATGAACAATGCTCAGAAGCCTTGATTTTAATTCTGCGTTTCTTATCCCAAAGCCAAAGTGACATCTGGAGAGCTTCTTGTGGAGGGTTACCCAACCAACAGGTAACAGAAAGGTTTTTAGACTGGCTAGAGATTCAGAGATATTTTCTCCTTCTGTTTGGTTTCTTAGATGGGAAACATATAATTTTCTCAGCTAGAAATTTGGGGTTGGTACTTAATGGTTTTAAAGCACCTCTATTAATTCTTTATATTCCATCTCACCTGGTTCCTGTGGAAAACATAAGCCTTTAAACACTGCAAATATCACTTTTCCCCATTAGTGTTAGAAAACTGATCTTTTTTTCCTGACTGCTCTCTTACATCACTTCCAGCAAAATCTGATCACACTACAGTGCATACATTGCATTTTTTTCTTCTGTAGTATTATGCCTTTTATTTGTCCATTACCAGTTATTTTTACACTTTTTACTTCTTTTTAACCCCAGAAAACTCTTCCACTCTCTGAATTACCTGTTGTTAAAGACCTGTCTCATCAAAATACTCCACGTTACTTCCATTTGCAAAGAGGAATCTCATACTGAATACTTTTTCTTGCAGATTACTCAAATGCACCAAAGGAGGCAGAGCAGGAGTGAAAGCTCCATGCCAGAGCAGACGGTGCATGTCTCCCTGTGGCACCTCCACTGAAACACATTACCCCACAGATAGCAGGCATCCCACAGATACTCAAGTGCAGTTCTTAAAGTCATAACCACCACATTGCTAAGTGCACCACAAAATGCAACACTCTAAGTCTTGCATAAACTTTACACTGCACAAGCCCCCAATCAAATAATTCTGTTGTTTGTCATTGAAGTAGACTTTGAAAATGTTCTCCAAGGAAGAGACAGTGAAAGACAAAGTTTAAAATAGCTCTTGAACATTAAATCTTGCTCTTATCAAGCTCTTGTCTTCTGTATTCCTTTTTTAATCCTCTCCAAAGCTCTCAAATAGGTTCTCCTTTGAGAAAGGACCAAACATGCAACACTTCAGGAAGACTGCTTGTCTTTTGATAAAATGCAGGGAAGATGAAAAGCGGGAAGAGGAGGGACAACATTATTCTTACAATGGAAAACTAGTCACAAGCTTAGAGGTGCAGATGAGTCCCTGCAAAGCCTTACCTCTGCCGCATACTTCATCCCATCCACCGCGTGCTCAGAGCCGGCTTCATCATTGGACCCCCAATGGAAGTGAATCTGGCGCAGCCTGTAGGTCCCGCTGAGTGGCCCCCCAGTCAGCACTGGAAACCCAAGCAGAGGAAAAGGCTTCACTGCAGGAACAGGAGCCTCTACCCACATCCTCTAACCTCACACCAAACTTCAGTCTTTGGACAGTCCTTTGCTCCTTCTAAAAAGCTCTCTCAGATGGCTTCCCACTTCTTGGAAGTACTAGAGAAACACTCACTTGTCTGGGATATGACTATCAAAATTGCATTTATGTGTAGATTAGTGGGTTATGGGCAACCAAAGGGTATGTTGTTATCTCCAGGTTTGTCTTGCTATGGGTTGAATATTTCTCAGAAAATGGGAAAATACTTCTATTTTGCAACATTCAAGAGAGTTTCCTCTCTTGAATAAATTTGAAAGAATCACTAAGAAATTAGGCTTAAAATATAGATTTTATGAAAAAAAAAGGGTGATCATAAAAATGTAATGTCAGTACAATTTCTTCTCTTTGAAATTCGGAGGAAATTAGGTGGAGCCTAAAAAAATTTCAAGGCTCTTTCCTTCATTTGCAGTTAGATCTAGTTACATCAGATTGGAGTCGGAGAAAAAGGAGCTTATATTAACATATATAAAAATAAACCAATGCTGCATATGCACTGTACAACGGCAATATTACTGACAATTAGCCAGGGCTGGAAGGCATGTGCTATGAGGAGTGGCAAAGTACTTTGGGCTTGTCTAGTTTGGAGAAAAGAAGGCTGGGAAGTGTCCTCACTGCTCTCTACGGCTTCCTGAGGGGGGGAAGCAGAGAGGAAGCTGCTGGTCTCTTCTTTCAGGTATCCAGTGACAGGACTCATGGGAAAAGCTCAAAGCTGTGCCAGGGTAGGTTTAAACTGGACACTGGGAAGCATTTCTTTACTGAGGGTGGTCAAACACTGGAACAGGTTTCCTAGAGAGGTGGTCGATGCCCCAAGCCTGTCAGTGTTCAAGAGGTGTTTGGACAATGCCCTTAACAACATGCTTCAACTTTTGGTCAGCCCTGAATTGCTCAGGCAGCTGGATCATTGTAGGTCCCTTCCAACTGAAAGAATCTGCTCTATTTTATTCTATTCTAATGCTATTCTGCTCTAATTCTATTCTGTTCTGATCTAATTCTATTCAACCTAACATGCATACGGGTAGGCTTTTCCTTGTTTTGCTTTTGCAAGTGCTCATCATTTGCACATCAGAGTTAGAACAAAACCAGCTCTGCACAGAGACTCGAATGCGAATCATATTCAGAAAGATTCCTTATTCCCTGTAAAACAAATCATTCCATTCTCTGGGCTCCATTTATCCTCTGGCTCATTATAGAAATTTTAAGGGGAAATGAGGGGAGCTTTACCCAGATGGTTTTTAAATTAAGAGCAGTAGGGAGGACAATGGCAATTTTTTCTCTCTTCTAGGTTTAGTCCCAAACCTAAACTTTCTTAGGAACAAAATACACCAAATAAAGATTAAAGAATTTTAAGTTGCCTATTTGCTAACACAAGTAGCCTGGCTAATGAAAAGGAACTGGGACTGTTTATATGGGGGGAAAAATATTTGAGTTCCTTAAAGCTTCAACTCAAACCCATGCTTTTACACAGCCTACAGACAGAGGGGATGGAGAAATGGCACTCCTAAAACAAATTCCTTCTTTCAAGGAATGAAAACTTGGAAGCAAATGATCATAGAAATGTGTAAAGATTGGTGTTGTAACTGGCTGAGGGAAAACTATTATGTAGAAAGGCATTGGCGTGAAATACTTCTGCTGAAAAATGTGAAAAACGGCCTGATGATGTATTTGTGCCACGTCATACAGTGATGGTAAATCCCTTTCATTCCAATCGTAATTAAGGAGGATGTTGGTCACAAGCGTTTTGGGCAAATATCAGTATCTCAAATTTTGAAAAATGTTAGAAGAAGATCAATAGACTAATTTCAAAGAATGGAGCTAATGTGGTACTGAAGAGCATAAACAGACTTAAACAAACAGTTGCAGACCTGACAGCCCAGTTTCAATGCTGACCAAAGTGAAGAAATAGTTCATATGGAAGTCAGTTAATAATGCATTAAAAGATGCTAATGTATTTAGTACCAATTAATTTGATTTTTTTGTCATGAAACCAACACATAGCAGGAGTCCTTACTTCACAGGGGAGCCCCAGAAGCCAAATTTGGGCCCTAGAAAATTCAGTATTTTTTGAGCAATGACCTGAAAGAAAACAAAAACATTACTGATAAAGTTTGTCAGTGACAAATATTAGGGAAAATAGCGAATTACTCAGTTTATAGATGTGGATTGAAGAATCTAGTCCATACACAGAAGATATGGACTATGCTGAAGGAGACTGGGGATTACATCTGTTAATTATCTGATCTACATTTGCCAGTGCTTTGTCATGACATGAACTATATTCTTGGAGATATGGCCAGAATAAAGGAGGATCACATTACCATTGCTTTGGTACCATGGTAAGCCTACAGAAATGCTATGTTCAGGCTCTGTCACTTCATGGATGGAATTAAGAGAGTGGAAGAGGTTCTTGGTGTATACACATTCATTGCCTTTTTTTTCAAAAAGAAAGAGTTTAAGGCTAAGTTGATACAACTCACATCAGCTGATGTGCTGTAAGGGTAATTAACAATTAGAACAACTTACCAAAGGCTGTGGTAGGGTCATCATCGCTGGAAAATTTGAAATCAAGATTGTGTGTTTTTCTAAGAGATGTGCTTTACTTCACCAGTGCCTACTAGGCTTGAAGCAGAGATTAATTCTGGGAAGTTCCATGGCATCTGGCACACACGAGGTCAGACCGATCACTGATGATCAGCTGGTGGCCCTCAGGCAACATCCAATGTTGCTTGTATTGACAGAAAATTTAAAACTAAGACTGTCCAGGAAACCAAAGCACGATGGTGTCTCCATCTGTTTCTCTCCCTGTTGACACTATAAGCTAACAAGTCCTCAGGACTAAGGGACAGGGTGAGCAAAAATTAGTTTCCCTCTGGCTTGGACCCTTGGGAAAGCATTATATGGGCTTGGATCCTCAGCTAAGCCTCAGGCATCCACAAGATGATATTACTGCTTGAAGATTCTGTGCTCCTACAGTTTCAAGGGGGGTTGTGCTGGCTTGTCTAACATCTAAGACAAGGTTTTAAAAGATGAAGGTACTAACATTACAAAGACTATGCTAAACCAGAGAACTATTGCTTGCTAAAAGGGAAGCTACATACTCCTGGAAAAGACTGGGACAATAACACTTTTCAGAGAAGAAAAGGGATCACTTGGGATATATTTCACTTGTTCTGTATTGGCTCTTTCCTGACACAAGAAGTCCAAGTATGGGTTGTAAAAAGGGGAAAAACATATAACCAAACCTGCAGCTAAATTCAGATAAGAGATTTGAGCGATTCAGTTGGAATGAACCTGTAATGAGACACAAAGGATTCATCTGCAGTGAGAGAGAGAGCAGCATTTGAAAAATTGTACACAACACTGTTCAGACATGATGGCTGGCACTACCCAGATGGTTGGGGTGGATCAAACCACCTCTGTGAATAGAGAATCCCAGCACTTCCTGAGAAACACAATCTTGAACTCATGTACAAATACATTCCCACATTGTGTCATGCTGAAAGACAGGGAAAAAAGGAATCTCTCATCTGGAGAAGCAAAGCCTTATCGTTCATGAGGAATTCATACCCAATAGTGAGATGTGCCCAGGCTCTATGCACTCTATATAGAAGACACAGTACAACAGGAAAGGAACAAACCTGATCTGTTGATGGTGTCATCGAACTCCACACTGGTGGAGTGCCCGTTGTTAAGGATGATTTTAGCAGAAGCTGGATCGTAATTGGGATTTAGAGGACGGAGGGAGGGATCATACTTGGTTTCCTCAGTTTTGATGTCGATGGGTGACTGACGGTCTCCATTAGCGACAGGAAAAACCTCCTTCCAGTGGGCAGGCCCTGCAACACATTGGAGGAGAAGTCTAAATTGATGACAGCACCCTCATTCTTATGAAAGAAAATTTGCTTGAATTGTTCTCATTTGTATCTTTTAAATTCAAAAAGGATGAATCAGGAAAACACAGATCAAAATACTCAGCTACTTTTGCTGCATCACATCACAGTGATCTCAAGTTAGCCTTCCTCCCTCCATGCAAGCTAAGCCAAATGTAAGCTGAAAAGCTAATAAATCAATAATATGGATATGAGAAATGGCAAATGCCATTCTAAAATGGTAAGAAAAGCTTCATTGATGAGATGTGTGAGTTATCTGTTATCCACTAAACACCAGAGTTCTCAATAAGAATATATATTCCATTTTCTAACCATACCTAGATAAAGAAGCCAAAGAAGAAAATATGAACAATAAGTTGCTTGGGGAATATTTTCAGTAAGTAAAGACAGAAAACAAGGTTTAGAATGGAAAAGAGGATAAAGTAAGGAGAAAGAGGAAAGGGAAAAAGAGAAAAGTGAAAGGGGAAAGTCTGCAGGACAAAGGATCTTTCAGTATTAATAAATGTATAGTACTCCAGGCTTATAATGGATATGAAGCATAATAAATCAACTAAGAGAGACTAGATACAAGAAAACCTTAATATAAGCATGGGAACCTAATCTTACAAAATCTGCATCACTGGAAACCTTTGTAACTCTCTATATGGAAGATAACTGATTTCAGTGTAAAAATTAGCCTGTTGGTTTGGGTCTTTTTTGACAGCTTAGCGCTTAAATAAACATATTGACAAAAAAGGATTAAAATGTGTGACACCATGATTAACAGCCTAACATCAAAACTTGTTAGACATTTTTCTTTCCTCGACTTCAACAGAAGTAAACACAGCTGAGAAACTCACAGGTGGCTAAAGGCGCCCCAACAGTAAATCAGCGAGGGAAGCGCCTGCAGCGCCGTGGGGCAGCAGCTTGCACAGCCATCTGGGCAGAGGCTGATTCTCCTCTGAGCAGCACCGAAAAATGGGAGAGAAGGAGAACTTGAAAGAACAGCCTAAGACTTCAGCCTCAGGCAGAAGAAAGGCAACGGCCTTTCGTCTTGAATTTGTTAAAAAGTCCTTTTGTTAATGACTGCATTAACTAAATGCATTAAGGAAATCGCTTCTAAGGCAGAAGATAAAAATCCTACTGGTTTGAAATATAAAACTGTTTCAACTTAATTTTTCTCACTTCACAAATGGTCATCAAAGCTACCCAATACTTTAATTACATACAGTTTAGCATCTATTTAATTGTATTTAGATCCTAGTACCCTGTAGTTAGAGATGCAATGCGAAGTTTTATTCATAAGAACCATCATTCCATCATTTATACCTAATTACTGTGTTTTGGGATGCTTAAAAAAAGCTTATTGCTACTTAATTT